ACTTAACTAGAAAAATCATAATCCTAGGTTTATTTAATAACTGGAAGATATGGAAGCTGAAGAAAAATTGGGGAATTACTTTACCATCAAGCTGATAGAGAAAGAAAATAGGAAACAATCTTGGGGGGTGGACGCGAGTGAATACAGAGTTCTCAGGTGTTAGGAAATTATAAGGAAGGTCTTAAAATTAATGTGAGTAAAAAAGTTACTATTACTCTCTCGTCTCCCATTCCGGACATACTTAGGTTTTAGTATGTGGTTTTGTTTTTCATGCTTACTGTGGTGGTGTTTGCTTTTACTAATGTACAAGAAGATGATGCTAGTTCTTTTTATCATCATCAAGCTAATTAATAACGGTAATGTATATACTGGAAACAATAGTTATTCTGAGGGCATTCTGATTTTAATTATTAATAAATGTTCTGATAGGACATCTGTGGGTGCAGGGTAGCGTGTGTGAGCATGTCCTAGTTTTAATTCATATTTTATATGTAATCTGCATAATTTGTCTTGTTTTATTCTAATTCTAGGCCCTATACTGTCTTGCATTTGCAATCCCATGACTTTTCCTCCTTACAGTTGCCGTGCTGGCTTAAGCAGCTCAATCCCTCCCCCCGTCTTCAGTTCCTGGCATTATACCCTTCAATGCAAAACTACAGGCTGAAGTGGATCAGGAACTGATCCAGGTGTTGAGTATCTCCCCCTTCTTGGCTTTTCACTACCACTGAGAGGAGAACCATAGCTCAGTTCTCTGGATGCAATTTTGCTGGTCTGATGCATAGTTTTAGTTTCCTACGATCCAAAATTGGTTACTTGTAAATTACTTTAGTTAAAATATGAATGTAGTATAAACATGAATATTTTTTATATATGTTAGAGATTTGCAGTAAAAGTATGCTATCCGATTTTTATGTCTTTCTTTGATAAAAGGATGCAGAAGGCAGAGACTGCAGAGATGACCAACGAGAAGGGATGGGCTGGTTGGATTAGGATTACTTTGGAAAAAGGCTATTAAGAGAGAAACTTAATTGCTTTGGCCATTTTAGAATTAGTATTTCAGCTCTTGTAGTAACAATTGTTGGTCCATGTCTACAAAAAATTACAGTACTTTCTGTCAATTTTTCTGATAACTTTATGAAACAGTTGATTTTGTTAAAGGCTCTGATTCTGTCTTGATTATTATTGTTCAGATGTATTAGTACTTGCTTTCACTAAACCAATTTCCTTTGAATCTGTGAATACGCAGTGTATTTCAAAAGGTTGTACAGTTTCAAATGGCTAAAGAGAAAACTGACAAGCCTGAAAATTAACGTGTAGCAAAGACCTTCTGAAAATGAAGAGAGTTCTCACAGTCATGCACACAGAAGTTTATCTTTCTTTAAATTTTGATTTTGATAAATGTATACACTCCTGTGCATTGGACATAAATCACATATGCCACTTAGTAGTGTCATTTTGATTTTATTTTACAGATTATTAAAGTGTTACAGGTATTTACACAGATTTATTAGAGCAGTTGCTCAACTTTCAGTTCTTTCAACTGAAAGTAGATACAATGGTAATATTGCAGGTTATTAAATTTTGGGGCCTAAATGTTTGGCTGCACATTAACACAAGAGTAAAATGTTGCAGAATTCATTGAAAGCTCTGAGTATCCAACTGCTGAGAAGAAAATGATTTGCTGTTTTTCATCAACTAACTGTGAAAATCTGTAAGGAGCTGCGTGTTTCATTTCAAGTCATTGCATTAAAGAGATCAGCTCTGCTGTGGGGCTCAACAGGTCTGTACCCCAAGTACCAGCGCGCTCCCTGATAGTGGCATGAGGGTGGCCGGGGAAGTCCATTCTTAGTGATCTTTCGGTAAGGTTTGTACAGCTGCGAAGGAGGTGTTAGAGGATTAAGGAAAACACCAAAAAAGAAAAATAAAAAGAAAAAACAAAAAAACCCAAAAACCAACTAATGACATGGTCTCTGTGGGAAGGTTGGCAACATGGAATACTGATTTTATGGATTTCTGCTGCCCTTTTCTTGTGCTGTGCATATTAGGACCCCCTAGAATTTACTCTTGTGTACTTTTCCTGTTTCCAAGTAGAAAAAACGTAGGCATTAGGTGTTCCCAAGGCACCCCGAATTCCCAAGTACAATGAAAAATATTCTTGCATGAAACTTCTTGCAATTTTATTTTATAGTGTGAATGGCAATTTGCTTAATAAAGAAACACAGATATGACCAGAACAATCGGGTTTTGGGGTTTTATTTGTGGGGCCTTGGGGGTTTGTTTGTGTGTTTTTTGGTTGGATTTTTTTGTTGTTGTCGTTTGTCCCTATAGTTCACATGGCTTGTTGACGTAGTAATGTTGGCATGGAATTCATGTAGTGTTCTAGAGTGGTTTTTCTTGCGAAGAACTTAATTATATTTTTCGTTTTGTTCCCACACCTCCAGATACTTAACTGGAGGAAAAAAGAAAACAAACTTTTACAAGGTATTTTAATGCTTTATTCATTTTTCTAATTTTTATTTAATACCAACCCTACCTTAAAATGAGTGTAATCTTGAGTCATTTGAGTCTGGTTATAACTTGCGCTGAATTGTATCTTAATGGATTCCCATTTGATTTCAGCCTGTGTTTTTCTTTGACTAGGATATCCTTGTCAGCCAAACTAAATGCATGCAAGCCATGTAGAATAACGCAACCAAAACCCCATTATGTTCATGTAACATCATGTATTTTATTGATACCATTTACATGTTGTCAAGTTCTAAGGAGAATTATAGATAGCATAATAAAGAGTGGAAGTTAGAATTAAAAGTAACCGATGGCACTTTTGTATCTTTTTTTTTTTCAGTTTGTATTTACAGTCTGCCTTTTGGAAGAAATTGTTAATTAATTGTTGCCTGCTTGCTAATAACAGTGAATTCTGATGTCCATTTTCCTTTTTTTTTATTAATTGAGGGCAGGTAATCAAGAAGGCAGTAACATGTCAGTTCACAAGTACTTTGCTTCCCCAGGCCCTTTATCTCCTGTAAGGCTGTAACCTTAGAAAGGTCACTAATAGAAGTGGTCTTTTTTATAATGGGTAAGGGCTAATGACTTTCTGTGACTCCTTGGCTTATCTTAGGTTTCAGCGATGCCTGCTGTGAGCATCTGAACTCATGTGAGACGCCTGGCCAGTGGAACGGCTTTAGGGTGACCTGGTTTGGGGACCTTCAGTTTTCCAGAGGTGTTTGGGAGGACTGGTCTCCCGTGTAGCTCTTCTTTTTGGGGTTCTGCAGGACCACATTTCTTGCATCTTCTGTGCCACAGATGAATATAGCCTGTGGGAACGTGGAGTGAATAATTACGATGATATGAAGTGTGGTGTCATAACCATACCACTTCTTTTCCCCCTTAATTTGCTTTGGATACAGCTGTTGTAGAGCTTACCCAAGCCTGATGAATATGAGATTGGTGTGTGCTGCCTGGTACCATCAATTAAACTTTACCAAGACCTCGGTTGTTCTTTGTGGGATACAGTTTGTTAACCTATTGAATCTTGTCACTACTGCAGTGCTGTAAGCAGAAAAAGGTTGAATAAACAGTTGTGCTTTACCATGTCAGGTCAGAAAGCACGTTTATTCTTTCCAGTGTTTAAGCAATGCAGAGAGTTGATGTGAAGTGCCTTGGGGTCCTTGTATCTCTATGAGTACTTTTTAAAACTATGCAGCTGTATACTATGACTGTGTAATATTTTATAGGTCTTTTGAACTTGAAACTAGTAACTGTTGTGTGCGTGGTTTTAATTAAAACAGATTCATGGTACTTTGTCCTTAAAACTACTACACAACTACTAACAGCTTCCAGTGTTTACCAAGTATTCCTCAACTTGACATACTCTTGTGTCAACAATAAGAAGTTCCATCTTAGGTTGGCTTTTTACTAATATGCCCAAGTTTTAAGAAATAAACATCAATTCTTTACTATTGAAATTTTTCTAGCTGAAATCAGCAAAATTTTTGATTTACATGTTGTATTGTGGTTTGGAAGGTCATTCGCTGGATTCTGGTGCTGACAGAGCATTTGTGCCTTTAAAAAAAAAAAAAAGGAAATCAAAGAAAGTGAAGTGCCCTCTAGTCTGAGGGCGTACTTTCAGAGTAAAAATGTGTATTTAATTTCTGCAACTTTCTGCTATTGTTAGCCTCTTGTGTACATGAATGTCAAATTAACTAAGCTTTCTGTGTGCTCTTCTGGTGCACTTGGTAAACTAACAAACGACTAAGAAGTTGACATTTCTTTTATTATTTTATTAAGTCTTTTATCTGCTGACAATTAAGAAAACATAGCAGAAGTAGTAAGTAGTACATTCTGTTTACTTTATTGGTCAAGCACATACTATAATTTTGTGTGAAACTGTTCCTATTGATGCATGTTATGTGTTCATAGTACAGCAAAAACACCTCACTGTGTTTCAGTAAAATTGATTTTGCTATGGAAGGTGTCAACATGGGGGTAATGATTGAACCTGAAAACTTGTTTGCAGAATTATAGTCTTGCTGTGTATTCATATACATATTCATGTATATTCATACAGAGTTGTAAATGACACAGTGTTTTTAGAAATACAAATTAATCAAGCTTGATCTGTTTGACAGTTCTTTCATCCTTCTTTGGAGTGTAAGTTAACGATGGTGAATGTCAGCCTCCAGTGAAAGTAATGGTATATTGTATAATTAAGTCTTGAATGCTGTTGTGTTTGCGTTCTCCACTTCAGCCTGGACTTTTTTGGTGAACTTTATTTTCTTAATAGTGGGTGATGATTAAATTACTTCTACAACATGTTATTCAAGGTCTCAAACACACAATAGTAATACAGTTCCTATAAGGGGTTCGTTTGTTAATCTGAGCTCTGTTTTACAAAAATTGTGTGAATGCTGCTTTCCTTTGAAATTGATCTTCAAAAAGAAAACCTGTTTTGTATAATAAGATGCCAGACTCACGAAGATTTCCTTTCTTGTTTCATAGACGTTCCATCTTCAGAGCAGCCTGAACTGTTCCTAAAGAAACTTCAACAGTGCTGTGTCATTTTTGACTTCATGGACACGCTTTCAGACCTTAAAATGAAAGAATACAAGCGCTCCACTCTTAATGAACTGGTGGACTACATTACAATAAGCAGAGGCTGTTTGACAGAGCAGACTTACCCTGAAGTAGTTAGAATGGTGAGTTCCTTCTTTCTCATGGTCTCTTTAAATCCACTTGCAATTCCAGTTACGCATTGTGGGCGAAATTGAACCCTGGAGTAGGTGGATTAAATGAGGCCTTTGGTTTGTATTTTCTACTAGACATCACTTGGGGATAATTCTCCAAAGACAAAAATATTAATTTTTATATATGCTTAATTAAAGTCAAGTAGATGATGGTTATTATAGTGTCACAAAAGTATGAAAGGAAACATGGATTGTTTCCTGATGGAGAAAGCCAGCAGCCATAAAATCAGTCCCTCACGTTTCTCCCCACCTATCCTGCCTCTCCCCCACCGCCAGTATAAATAATGCAATAATTTTTGCAGATTTCTTATCTTTCTTTGAACTTCATCCAAGCTCTTGAGTGTACTTGAGTACTTTAGGCAGAGATAGCTTAAAGTATGCACAGATAATGATTTTTAAATAATAAATGCTAAAAATGTTGTATAGAATCAGTGTGAAAAATTCGTGGTTGTATTATGTGGATTCATAGCAGCTGCTGTTAGAGTGAGCAAGATTACTTAACAATAAAGCCATACCTTCTATGTATAAATTGACAAATAATAGTGTTTTCAATGTAAAAATGGAAACAGTACCAGATGCTATATGGTGAAGAATGTTCATTACGATTGGCAAAATCAATCACTGCTTTAAAATGTTTATTCTGTACTACCATACAGAACCCTTATAACCTCTTATCTAAATGAGAAGGCAATTAGTTAAATATAGATTTGGTGATGTTGGTTTCCTAATGGAACTGTGTGATCATGGAATTCACTGCCCATGTGCTGTAAGACGAAAAACATGAATAGATTTTACATTGCATTATATATGCTCCTTATTTCTTTTCTGACACACAGATACATGCTGTGTTGCTTGTCTGTAATATTTAAAAATAGCTGTAAATTGTGACAGAATCATCAAGCAGTTAATAGTGAAGGAAAAAAACAGAACTAAGGGTGTATGGAAAAATCTTAATATGGCTTCTTTGTGTGTATGCATTGTCAGAAAGCATATAATTATGTCATCAGATTCTTCCCCTTTTCCCCCACCCTCCCTTTCTCCCTTCTCTACTGGACCAATCTTCTGAATGAACTGCTTTTCTGCCTGTTGTGTTATTTGTTCAGCGTGTGGTCTAATGCACCATTCAAATACTGGTCTGATTACGGAATTACTAGTTCTTTGCTGAATTCTTTTGGTGGTGCTGCACCACTGTAGTGTCTAAATGGTTTGCAAATGTTAGTTTAATCTCACTTGTACCCCTTGTGATGAACGTATTGTATCATACCCTGTGTATAGACAGGACACTGATGCACACATACCTGCAATAAAATCGGGTACTTTTTCTGTGTGTAGGAGATGCCTTCAAACTCACTCTCCAGGAGAATTTGGTATTTTTTTTTGTGTTTCTGTTGTTGAGGTTGTATTCTCGCATTGACTGTGATTATAGTTGGTTACTGCAGCAACATTTGTAGAATAAAGACTCTGCAAGTCAGTATTGTCTTAGGTTGGGCCCCAAGAAACAAGAAGAATTTGATCTGTAACTGCTCATAAAGTTCAGTCTGAATCATAAATCATAAGCTATGAAGCAATCTGAACTTGAACTGTAGAAGAGATGCAAAACCCTTTTGCCAGCATGTCCTACTGTCCCTGCAGTCACTTATGTTGATTCACAAAACTGTTTTTATCTTAAGGAAATGATGCATTGGCTAAATAGTTTGAAAAGCATGGTTTTAAATAATTTTCTTAAATATAGTCTGTAACTACGATATGGAGGAGTCCCTGGAAGTAAAGATACAGCATGAATTTTTCCAGTGAATTTCACAGATGCTAATGGAACTTCAGGAATTCCAATTTCAGCTTAGCTCATTTTTGATGGAAAACTGTTCTATCTTCTTTTCTCTAGTATTCCCCTGATCCTTTCTTTGCATCATGCCCTTCTTCATCTTACTTTCTTCTGCATTTGGGCTCCAGTGCTGAACTCAAGCTACGTTTTCTCTTCAGTGCCAGGGTACTTAAGCAGGGTAGGAGTGAGAATATTCTCAAGTCCTGTATCTGGCTACTCAGTGACCCCTGACTGCCCAAACCTGGATGTTTTACAAATGAAGAGTTGCCTAAGTAATTAGGGAAGTGGACATGTTTTTTCCTAAAGAATTTCCTGAGAAAGTCATAATATTTAAATTTTGTAAGAAACTCTAGCCTGCAACAGCCACCTGTGGTTTGATGAAGGTGTAAGCTATTGGAAGTCCAGAGTCCCCTAATTGTGCCTGTCGCAACCAGCAGTGTCCTTGGTGCATGCGCTCTTGGAAAAACACTTTGGTGGTTGTATTCCATGTAAGCAGGATGCTGAGCTCTGGTATTGAATTCATGTGAGTGAATCCATGGCAAATGCATGAATGATTTCTGTCGATCATCCCAACGAATGCTAATGCAGTGTTTCTACTAAACCACATCATCAGGGCTTTTGTGTGTTTCAGGTATTTTGTATTTTACGGGTAGGCTCTCTGGTAAAGATGCTATTTTTCCTCTTGGTCTTTGCCTATAAAAGCAAGACTTTTCCATCACTTTGAGTACAGTTACACAGGCCCTAGAGGGAAGGGTAGGACTTCTAATATTATACAAAATAAGTTTTCAGCACATATTGCCTGATGAAGAGACGGCATGAGTCACTTTGTGCTGAAGCATTGTGTTTGGTGTAACTTGTTTTTTGCAATTAGTGCATGTTCTTGTTTCAAGCAGAATTGTGCTCATAATCGTATGCTGAGACAGACTTAACTGTACACAATTGACTTCATGAGTGCTACTGCCTCCTTTATCTGCTTTTGAGGATTTTCATTTAGGTCTCCAACTGTGTTCACAAAGGAGCTGTCGTGTTGACAATCTCTGACCTGTCATGATAGTGGAGAAAACAGCAGTATCTACCTCCTGACCAAATTAGCGTCCCTATTGACTGCCTGCCACAATTGTCACAGGAGTATTTTGATTGAAAGACTAGTATCTTAAAACTGATCAAAATGGAGCACAAGTGTTCTTTGTCCCTTTGGAAGGTCTCCTCCCTGTTATGTTTAGTGTTTATGAATCCAGGAATTAGTTTCTTGCTTGGCCTTTTGGGCTACTGTAATTTGGAGGTGAAGGGAAGTATTGTAAACAGGGGAAAAAGAAAGAAGCTGTTTTGTGAGTTTTGGCATCATTTAAGAGCAGAAAAAAAAGCATACCAGTCTGAAGCTGATACTTAAAAAGTTACTAATATTTATAAAGAAGGATTAATGGCTAAAGTGCTTTCTTATCTTAATTATCTAAAATGTCCAAAAAAGTAGTATCTGTGGAAGAGCCTTTTTTTGTTTTGAAGTTTTATAACATACGTGTATATTAGTGTTCTCTGTTTGTGACCCAAAAGGAGTTTGGCTTAACAGATAGTAGGATAGAAAAAGGTTGCCTGTAAAAATTCTTCAGAAACTCTGAGATTTTTAATTACTTCTAAAATGTGATGGGTTTATGATGTAAGGGTTTGAAAAACAGTCATTTGTGGTAGCCAGCATAACAGCTCCTGGGTATTTTTACTGCCAGTCATCCTAAATTCATGCCATTAAAACCTTAATCCCTAATCGTAATATCATATATTTTCATCTTGTTCTCTTGAGCGTATGATATGGTGTTGTATATAGCTAAATGTGAAATCACTTGTGTGCATGTCCGCTTCTTTGAACCACTCTCTTTAGCTTGATATATGCAGAAGTGTTTGGCATGTTACTGCTTATTTAAAAAAATAAAATAAAATTGCATTTACTAGTGGCCACCAAAGCAAGGTTGCAGTGGCCTCGTCACTGTCATCAATATCATTTGATGGGAAGAGCAGTTGGGATTTGTGTTGATGGCCATAAGCTGGACAGATTTATTCAGGAGGGTATTGCTCGGTGAGCTTCCCCTGCAGTTTGATGTGTTGTTCAGAAAGGCATATGACATTCTTTAGAATTAGGCTAATCTTAGGAAAAAAAGGCCCTTGCCAATTAAATCACACTCTGCTAAGAAGGAAATGCCAGTAATACGACTTCATGAGCCAATAATTGGACATTTAATGTAAAATTTGCTTCTGTTTGAGCAAAATGTAGAGGCTAAAACTAATGATGCTGATTTTGCTGGTAGATTAAGTAATGGTAGTTGAATGAAATAAATGTTTGTTATTATCTGTGGTATCCTAAAGGGTGTATGTAGTAGAGCTTTTTGTATTTTCTGGGTATTAAGACATAGATTGAGGAAACTCATTTCTTTCATTTAAAATCGGAGAGGAAAAATTGACAAGCTGTTAAACTGAGAAATCTGGATGAATCTCTCTCTTGGTGAGCAACATTTCAGCTCTCCTACTTGCTTCTTCAAAAATTGTAAACCCAACCCCTGGCGTTTACCATGATGTTTATGCAACATCTGGGAACGGTTGCCAGCCCATAAGAGATGGCTAATGAAACTTTTTTGAGATGTACCTTTTAGAATGGAATAATACTACTTTGTTCTCCTCTCTTTTAAGTGCAGAAATCCTTTGGCTTCCTGTTGTCTTTATCTTTTCAGTAATGACAAATCAAGTAAATAAAACTCTAATCTCTATAGTCAAAATGAAACATCATATTAAATGTCTTGTGGCTCAGAAGCTGTGTTGCGCAACACAGTGAAAGAAACTTGGTTAAATGAATACCCAAATAAATACCAAAAATTGCATTTGAAAGGTCAGATTCTGATTTTTTCTTTTTTTTTTTCTTTTTTTTCCCTTTTTTTTTTTCCTTCTTTCTACTGACAAAAATCTAGAGGGATTGCATTCCTTTTTCTGCAGGTTTGTCTCAATAGATGTGAGGGCAGAGTCTGATCAGAAGTTTGTTTGTGGCAGACCCTTGAAACATAAAGAATATCTTGTTAAGCCATGAATTTTTTAGCATGTTAAGGAACCTATTTTTAGGATGTTTGCTATCTGTTAGACTTTATAGGCA